ACAATTAATTGTATCATTGATACTCAAAACATTCGGGTACAACTTGTTTCCTCGCAACATACGCACCGTGCTCTTTCACTACATGTTCTTCGATAGATTTCATCACCGCGAGCATCCGGTGATGGTAATCAGGATGAGAACACATACAATCGAACACCTTCAAAGCATGTTCCCCACACTTTTTGCTACCAAATCCATTCTCTTCTGTGCAATCTCCCATAACCTTATACAGTTCTTTGCAAGGTCCTCCTCTCATGAGCTAGGCAGTCCCATGTTTATCGTTGTATTAAATGTATTAAGGGTTCCTTTGTTTATCGTTGTAAATTGTAGTCTATTTGGATCACCAAAAAATATATATAAAAAAATAGCAAAAGTCAACTTGGTTTTAGGTAGGTTTAATATATATTTTTCTTGTAAAAAAAAAAGTTGTGTGAAAGGAGGGGGAATATAAAACTATCTAGGTGACAGCTAAAGCAAGCCTGGTATCGTGTTATCAACAAAGTCTCCCCCGATGCAAAACAAATATATTTAAGACATTTCGCATAAGCTCACGTTCCGAGTAGTGACACGGGCGGGGTGTGAGACGAAATATATGCAGGACGCTTCGAAAGATAGCAAACGGTGTTTCGCTTTTGGTTAACTTATGCATGTTAGACCATCTCCATTGGAGAAATTTAGGGGTATATTAGGGGGTTCTTAAAATATAAAATTATTAAAACACAYACTCTCTCTTCYTTTTAYTCAACTTTATACATTCTCTTTCATACTTTTACTCAACTTTTATTAATTTTATATTTAAACACACCTAAAAACTCTCTTCAAAAAAGTTTCTTAACATACAACCTAAACATACCCTCTCTCCACTATCTCCTCTTTTTACTCAAAATTTATTAATTTTATATTTCAATACACCCCACTATTTCAACAAAAAACACTCTCTTTCTTCCTTTTACTCAAATTTTAATAATTTTATATTTTAAAAACCCCCTAATATACCCCCTAAATTTCTCCAATGGAGATGCTCTTACTAGCTAGCTTGTTCCGCTTTTGTCCATTTTTTTCGTGTTGTAGTGTTGCAAGATTAGTAGATTTCGGTTTTTTCTTTTTTTTTTGTTTATAAAT